TCCTTATTCCTTGACCCACACTATGGCCTTGGTTAAATAGTAAAGATGACTCCTTGACCCTAGGGTAATGCGATTGAATAAGGGTTTTGTACAGATTTAACCCTAGGCCAACGGGAATAATAGACTATACTTTGGTGATTTCCTGTTAATCTATTCATTCAGATGGCACATGATTTGCTATTTATAGCCGTTTGACGTCAAACAATATCAAGGGGATTTCCCGGATCGAAATTTTATCTTCAAGACGGTAGAGGTCTTATTGAAAATAAATTCTTATCTAAATATTTCTAAGTATAATTTTTTGCCTTTTGAACGCATCAATTATTCAAGCTATTTTTTAACTGCCTAAAATGTATTTCGTATCCCCCGCTAAACATATCTCTTCACAGATATTGAGACGCAAATGTCCCGAACCGTGTGAAACTATTCTGATCAACTACCAGCGACGAGTAATCGCAGTATAAATAGTAACGGTAAATATTACGCTGTTGAGGTCAGGGTGTTAAAATATAGTCACAAAATAAAAACAGAGGACCCACGACACAGGTTAGTTAACACAATTCTATATTTATTTTGAAATTTCACGTTAAATTGTTGATCGTGTTCAGGAGTTAGTCCTGTATTTCTAGCGTAACACGATGTCCCAATTACTTTTTCGCCTAAAGACAACGCCTGTCGTGATGTGGCAACTGTGATATAATAAGGACATATTTGTGACTGAGAATTTACAAATTATGGACAAATGATGGACAAAAATCCGCCAATAAGTTACTTCATTAGTGCAACAAGGTAGGCTTTAGAAAAGTATGATCATATCAATGTTATATTATATATTGTCTAATGGGTGATATATTATTTCTTTGTCTTCTTGACTTGGTGTATATTATTATATTACATACAAGCTTATACCAATAACAGTATATGTTCAGTTCATTGATCGAAAATAGAAACTACAGAGTGAGTCAGAAAATGGGCTGTCGCAGATATGCTCAGCTATGCCCCTCGACTAATTCATTTATCACATTACAAAGGGAAGGACTCTGTTCACGAGCCCCCCTTGGCGATTCTGTGGCCCTTACTCGACCCTCACCCTATGTGCCTGTGCTTTCGTAACATTGCTTATCCGCAATATTACAACCTTAAATTCCTATGATTTGTTGACCAGCGCAGTTGATAGTAAGTTGGATTGTCTGTGGCCAGATCGCAGGTTTGAGTGTTATAATATTGTCACCACTAAAATAATGCCACTATACAGTGTTTATTCAATAACGCAATATTTTGAGATTTAAATGAATTTTTTAACCTTAGTGGCATTAATTGAACTGCACTGAACTAGTGAATCATGACAGGGAGTTGAAATCCTAACAAGACAAAGGATAATGTGAAACTCTTAATTTGAATATTTTGTGAATATGTAAATTGTCTTCCTCGATGTGCGACTTCTAAAATGTCATTAACGTCTCGGAGGACGGTACATCATGGGACTTAAATATTGTCTTGAATTATCTCAGTAATATACACCTGGGTTGCTCATAAGATATTCACTGTAATGGGATGGTGTCAATATTACCGGATGTCTACACCTTTACCACCTCCACTCCTGAAGACTGTCACAAGCTCCGATTTATTCAATGTTACATAGAAAACAGAATATTCATTCATAATCCTAGCGTGGGAAACTCATCTTTATTTATGAATGAAAGTGATGTAATTTTACTCCTCGTCACGTCAGACAGCATCTCATTTGCATTTTTATTTCTACTCGCATTTATTGACGTGTGTGTGGGTTTGGAAATTCACACTGTTTCAACCCCAAGAGTATTACTCTGTAAAGCGCAAATTTAAGCGCAATATTGTTTCATTTTTATAGGAAGTAGGAGTTTAATTTACCATATAATATGTAGGATTTATATAATATACTTCTTTTGAGCAATGTAAGGCAACGTATTTGAGCATTTTGACGAGAGACCTTGAAAGTGTGCTCTTCATTATAATATTATCAATTTAACATTTCACACCGACAACATGTTTGAAATGACAAGACCTCGCACAATTCGTCATGTCTTAGTGTACTGTTGTACTGACAGAAGGTTACACGTTGAAGACCATTTATTCGAAATTAGAAAGAAATGCTGGACATCGGAGTTGTCTATACAGGATTTCTTTCATAATACTGAACGCTTGTCCTTTTCAGTTACATGTCAGAAGGGCATATAATGTAACAGGCTTACCGGGAGCAGTATAATCTCCGGGAAAAGCTTTGAAAAGTTCAAGGACGAGTTACGATTACATGTACTTATGTACTTATTCTGATCAATTAGGAAGTTCAATAATATCCTGAAATTACCGTATTGAAACCTCCACTGATGTACATACACACAAGGGGTTATCACGTGTGCAAAACATTCTTTGTGTTTAACGCTTTCAATGACGTCAAGGTTTTTAATGAAATTGGTTGACTAATATTCCCCTTTCCGATAAAATAAGAAATCCCAGATAGATCCTATATCTATTATGATCAAATCAGTGACATACAAATTTTAAGCAATTTCTAAAGTACAGTCAAGCTTTTTCGAACATTCTTCCGTTTTCAGTGTGGTCCTTTAATCAGCGACCAGTAAAGAATTTCAAACAATATTACCTCTATGTAACGTTAACATATTGACGTGGCCAGGGGCAGTGGTGTATTTAGGGGGAAGGGGGGCATGGTGAAAATGAAAAGGTTATTCTACTATCACTGCAAAAAATCGCGTAAGATGTATTTTCTCCAGGTGGAGGCCCCTATGACCACTGCCGGGACCAGTACCGTCTGAAATCCACAAGGGGAACCGAAGTGCTTGGGTAACTTAGTTATATCACAGATTTTCTCAATGTATCTTGGTTCTTTGAAGATAACGCACTTTAGGACAGTGCTCTATTTACACTTCTTAGAACGTCCAAAAGAATAATATTATTTGATCAGCCTGTTTACAAGACAGTGTAAAATGGTGTTATTAAGGGCGGCAGGTTAACTGAAGTGTACTGAATTCAATATATATAATTACCTGCAATACAATGCTGTTTACACAAGATCATTACGTTTTCAAATTGTCAATATTTGCGAGTAGATTTCCATTTCTGTCAGCTATTGTCAACCAAAAAAACATTTACGTCAATGAAATTGGCAATAAACCAATATGAAAATTGTTTTTATTGTCATTAAATAGAAATGTTTTTACATTGTGAGTTTAACACAATCACATGAAATTTTCACCACCCCTTACTGTGTCGTATGTTGTGTGTATATATCGTCAAGAAGGATTTTAGCCTATCAAACTTGATTTTTTACGGCTTTTCCAATTTTGCCTTTTAAATATTAATTCACAATAATTGTTTAGATTTCATGGACTGGCGTATATAATCCCCTTTCATTGATACAATATCATTCAAATTATATGACGTCACGAGAACTCTGTTATAGATACATATACTATAAAATTGATTTTAGAATCCCAACCGCCCAGTCTGCGATATAAGCTTATCCAAGAAGCAGACATTCACTTGTCATCTACCATCCTACATACCCCAGCTGTCCAACTAGGTCGACAGATATAGGTATAGATTGTTAATTATTGGTACTCAGACATACGACAGAAATTATATAAAAATTTTGGGAATAACTGAAATTAAATGAATGGAGTTTTACGTCCTACTTTTCTGCATTTGGGAATAACGATTTAATGATACCATCTAAAAGCAGGAAACAGGATACTTCTGTGATTTTCTGATTACTCATTAAAATTCCTACGCTGTGGGTGAAACGTGTAACTTGTGATAAACGTCAAGTGATAAGTTATTAAACGAGTGAGTAATGTCATTTGACAGAACAATATTATGCGTTATGTTTTTATGTTACTCGGTAGACGGTAAATATTATAATATATCGATGTTATTTTTTATGTCAAGTTTCGTTTGAGAATTCGGTGTCGTGTTTCTTCCTTCTTAAATCATTATGACAACTTGGGGATTTTGAAATAAAAAATTCTAGCAATTTTCATTGGATGGTTTAAATTTCTTACGAATATATTCTGCGTTGATTGGTTAATCCTGGATAATAAAAACATAAATATGTACCTGACGTTTATCCACTTTTGACATTCACAGAAAGAGGAGTATTTCCCACTAGATGTGGTACATGTACAATATTGTTTTGAGTAGTTTAAAATCTGGGCCTTATTTTCGAAAACTTAACTAAGATGCTTTTTGATTTGACAATTGAAGAAATACAGGGGGTGGGGATGTAATGTAATTGAGCAAGAGTCCTAAAAGGGCTGACAAGAAGAAAAAGTTGGAAACCCTACATCTAATTGGATGATAAAACAATTGAAATTGATTTTAGTGATTGACCATTCAGATGACATGAAACATGAAATATCTTGAATTTGGTTTCGTGAGTAATTTGCCAGAATCGAAATAGCTTCGATTTTATTGTTTTACATATTTACACTTTATTGGGCTAATTTTGACATCTTATGCATTGACACTATTTAGTATTTTTGGCCTTGACCGATTAGGAATTTAAATCATAGGCCTACATCATGTAGCTAATTAAGTTCACTGATGAGTATTTGTCGAGGTGACCAGGTCAACGATTTACAATCAAACAATGCACAAAACAAATATTGATAAGATAAATTATTATCATTTTGGATTTTCTCACGAATTAAAGTACATCACAAAGGTTCGGATGATACTTTTAAGGTGTTTGGTCTGGTTTTCACTCTTGTGAGAACAGATCGGAAACGTTGACATGGAGAAAGTGGCATGTAGTTATGATGGGGTCATGAAGCGTGGTCTTTACGTTTTAAGAGCATTTTGACAGATGCAAATGGGCCAGAAATACTGCTGTTCTTTTGCTCGAAAGATTTTCCTGTTTGTATCCTACGTTGAAGGCCTTGAGTTGTACAACCAATAGTCAATCAAGGCGGATAACTTTTATATTTCATTATTTCATATTTGTATTTCAGAAAATGGCAAGCGATCAAGATAACCACCAATCTATGGAGAAAGAACTATCATGTACGCTATGTTTGGAACTTTATAGAAATCCTGTTATGCTACCATGCCTTCATTCATTCTGTTACACGTGCCTAGAAGGGTTCGTGAAAGCCAAACCATGTGTTAAGAATATTTTAAGATGTCCAATTTGTAGAATTGGTGTAGAATTAATCTCAGCCGACCTTAATCACTTGCAAAAAAACTTTCAACTTGCCAGTATTGTAGATGTGTACCGACAAATCAGAGGAGAATCCACTACGGTAAGGGTTACGATTATTTCTGAAAATTTACTGTCATTTCTTTAGAATGATATATTCATTCGATGAAATCACCCTTTAGTCAATTTGCAGACGTTTTTTCTGAGGGATTTAAGAAACATTAAATATGAAGTTGTTCTGTGTTTAATTTAACCTGCTATTGATGCAAACAAGCAACTTATTTTTAACAATGCAACTTTACATGGTGCGGAATCCTCATTAAACCATGCGAATCGCATATCTTGAACACAAAAGACATTTAGTTTAAAATTACGTAGTTTTTTGTATTGTGTATGCAATTTTACTCCTATTGCTTTTACAGAATAAACAGTCTAAACCAGTGCAGCAACCCGAACCTAAATTGGAAGTGGAAAATGACGACTATGAAACAAGAGAAATGCCGCCCATTCTGCCTCTACCATCAAATATCGTAGATGGCCATCTCACCCAGCCTAATTCATTCTATATAGACTCGGATGCTGAAAGCACTGATGACGAAGAGACTTGGAATGCAGAGTTTGACACTTTAAATCGGGATTTTAATTTCTTATGGATAGGAACATTGCGAGACTTACAACATATTCGACTACCGGTGTGGAATCCATCAACAAGCAATGATACATCTGAAAATCCAGCAAACAGAGTGATTGTGGAGACTTCCCAACAGATACCAGCAGCACGACGAAATGCTCTAATCAGAAACTTTGGGTCCAATAACTTACAAACCAGTAATAGTTCTGCTCGCACTGGAAGTTTTCTCAATACCCAAACTGTTCGATCCAACCACATATCCCGAAATCAACCAACACGTAAAAGATCTAAAATCGCCAATTTTTTCCGAAAACATTTTACCCGTTAACTAGCTAGATGTGTGTTCTGTACACGTGTGATGTTGAAGGTTTGTCATGTTCAAAATCTGCGCCCTGGTATAAACAACACCAATACAACGGTTGAATTTCCCAAAATCTCCAGTTAAAAACTCCACCCGCAGGTTTCCTTGATTCCTGATGATTCCATTGGTTTTATTGAGGACTTGTTTAACCGTAGTTGCTTAATAAACGAGACAAACTGATCATTACAAACTGCTCATAACAAACCCTGATACTCGTTCTTTACTGTATTATTTATGTTATTGAAAATACAAACTGGTTAATGAATTAATGAGTTTTCTAGAAACAAGAAAGTGCAAAAGGTTTCAGGTGATTCACAGAAACCCAAAATGATCCGACCGACATTGCATTGCCAAGGTAGGTGGAAGGAAGTATTCCGATCCACTCGGAATTGCTGTTCCCGACCTGACTTAACCGCCCACTGCCACGTTACTTTTGAACACGTCCTAATAGAGAGTAAAAGTAAAATCGTTAATGGCACAACGGTTTTTAAGAAGTCACCCGAATCAAATCGGCAACTCACTGTATCAATGGGTTATACGTTAAAACATTTAGCTTGAATGCAGACCGCATAGTTGTAGCGATTTGTGCCAGCACCATTTCCGGACCCATGCCTCGTGATTTCACTCTTCGTGTACCACGTGCGTGCACTTCTTCTGTTTTCGTCTGTATTGACCATTTACGGACCCTTACCTCGTGCCTTTACTATTTCTATTCTCTTTTTATCGATTATCCCGTACCATACACCACATCGGATATTCGCGGCTTCGGACGCGTTGAATCACCTGGCCCCCGGTTCACTAATGTTGAGCCCGTTCTAAAGAAAAGTTAATGAAGGGAGGTAACTACAAAATATGTCGATGCAGGAAAAAAAGATTTACCGTTTTGTCAATAGCATTCAGACGATAGGATTCCACTAATTCATTTGCCATCTCTTCCCATGTTAAAACACGAAATTCAACCTTCTACATCTTTTTCAAAAATTTCGTTGAAAGCTTTCCAATGTGTCGAATGAAAGCCTGACCAATTCTCAATGTCTCCTAAAAAATTCAATAAAGGATGACCATGAAAATTTTGAGCTACTAAAATTGAAAGTAGACTACTACCTGTTATACTCATCCGCTAGAGTTTGGCAGTTCACAAAACAACTATTTTTAGAATTATCCTTCCGCCTTTAGGTCTCTCATCATCTCACCATATCTTACAAATAATGCAATTTCATACATCAAATTCAAAATTTAGACCAAAGATTACTCAAAAATAGGCATGCAAAAAACCCAAAAGGGTGAGAGAAAGAAGATTTCGAAAAATAGTCTGGACTACATTCATACAATCATTTGCATGAAATGTTTTAGTGGAGTGAGTCCAACTGACGAATGGATCTGTAACGAATTATCGAATTATAGGTTGTAGGAGTCTCGAAACATGGGATTCTGTCGTGTCAAATTTTAGGTAGTTATTATTTGCTTCAACATGATACAAAAAGTAAATACGAACATTTGTTAGTGGATATAGGGCCTTGGAATTAGACTCACATTATAAGCAGGATGGCTAGGATGGTGTCACAACAATACAGAATACACGCCCTTAGAATACATGCCATTAATCGATAGCAAAAAACTAGTGAAAATGGTCCAGTCGATTTTACGATACAATGTAATATGTATCTAACTTATCATGATCACGTTATATAAAATGACAACTTCTGTACTAAAAAGAGCAAGCTCTCTCTCTCTGTTCTGTATTCGTCAACATAGCATCCATATTCTCTTAAATAAGTCCGAAAAGTGGATATTGGATACAGTGAATCACGGTCCAATCTATTTTTTTATAAGATGACGTGGTTTAAACAACGATAGATAGATATCATTACATTCAGATTCAGTTAACCAATTCAGAATTGAGGAAAATGCAATGATTGTAGCCTGAGGCGATGTTTGAGTTATCTGTACCAATATAACACCTATATACAGATATTATATACAGGTAAATCTAATTAGGGAAGTTCATTAACAATATTTTGATTAATTACCTTGGTATTTTATCTATTAACGGACTAATATAAACTTTCACTATACGTCCTAGTCACCGGATGTTATTTTTACTACCGTGATTATGCAAATATCAAAAGGATTTCAGTCATAGTGGATGAATTTTGGGGTAAGTTATTTCAATTATCTATATCAATGTTTGTAGCAACCTATTCAACAATTCAAATTTAATATCTTATCTTCTTACAAGTTTGTTTATGAATTACTATAATTTAAAATTTGGTTTTCTCACCCGTACACGTGTCGGTAAAACTGAAGCCTTCATTTTGCACTATTCTGATAGCATGTCTGACACCTGTTTTACCCGCACATGATGTTTGGTTTGCATAATGCTGATGGTAGAGCTAAAAAGTGTTGTTTTGTTTTACTACAGTCAAACTCTGGATAGATAGGTCATTACATTCGAGAGGGCTGTAATAAATACAAGAATTTCTAAATCAAATATCACCTTCACGATTTTGTAGACAGAAATTCACTCCCACTCTGTAACACTGTGAATTTGTCAGATATCATACACTATTTAATTGTTTTTTGTTGTATATTGGACTATTAGGATTCGAATGTTGCACAAAGACCAAATGCTGTCACTCATTTTTTAATCATCGCAATGTTATTGAACATCACGTTCCTCTGTACCACTATTGCAGGTTCAGTATTATCAAATTTGTACTCGCTCTTTTCGGACCACAATACTAATAAATTCACAGTCATTAATTAGTCCTTCCCAGCTTTATTTTATTCAAACGATTGTTTCGTTTCAGAAAAGATTTTATTCTACCTGGTTTAAATGAAACTTTCCTGTGATACGATGAGGTTTCGTACAATATTCAAAACGTTTCTTGCATTATTTGCCGTGTCAAGTTTGGTAACTGCCTGGATTTTACTCATAACGTTCTCTCATCCTATCTTACAAACCAATATGGCGGCCTGGAAACGGACGTTACGTCATTCGAAATATCTTTGCCCCAATGTTTTAAAATTAATGACTCGTGGAAAGTGGGTGGAACAAGAAGTGAGTGCTTTCATGAAACTTGAAATGGATGTTTTCTTGGAGAAAGCCAGAGGTGATTTTTATCTCCCTGGAACCTTACAACGATTGGATGACCATTGTGGAAACGTGACATTTGATTGGTTAACTGGAAATCAAAGACCATTGCTGTGGTTCCGCGCGCTTTGTGACCCTAAGGGTGCAAAACCATGTTGTTATGACAACGTGTGTACAAGTAAATCTATTGAACAGTGTAAATGCCCCGGGTGTTTAGACATGAGGCAGCAAATAAATGCTGAGCATGCGAATTGGACGCCAGAGCACCCAGATTGTCATCCTCCAGAAAGAACTCCTAAAGATATGTGTAATATTTTAAATGGTATGACTATTTATTTCGTTGGTGATTCGTTCATTCGACATTTATACACAGCCTTGTTAATGCTGGTGAAAGGTAATATGTATGATGGAGCTCTAAGGAACAAACCTATACCGCAATGTAAGTATATACAACATTGTTTCCTGCATGTAAAAGTTTAAACTCTATCTAGGAATTTTGCTTTATGTTCGAGAGTGACAACTTGACCATACACGAATATGCATGCTGGCTTTGAGGGAATTTAATTGGATTGCATTGTAATTAAATCCTATTGTTAAAGAAATTTGACCTATCGAAATCTAAAGCCATGACATACCAGTTATATTAAAATCTTTATTAAATATGCCCAGTTATTTTATTTTTAGCTCAACTCTAAATACAAGGATTCAGATTACACTCAAGTCCAGTTGAGGTAGATCTTCATTGTCCTATACAACCTCCTTTCACATTGATTATACACTGTCACTATAATAAAACCCCAAAATATGATAGAGATTTTTCATTTTATTGCATTTTTTAATGGTGCTGCTTTTTACTATTTCAGTGACTCATACAAGATGTGTTGGAATGTATGTATTCAGTGACGCAGAGTGTCGTGCTTGGATTAATTTCAATGCGTCTTTGTGTAACAATACAGTGCACATGCAATTTGACGAACTTCCAAAAGTAGAGCACGTAATGCATGTCTCAACCAAAATGCAGGAATTAACTAGAAAACCGAGATCGTTGTTTGTATTCGGAATCGGAATACACAATGATTATAATATAAGTGCAACAACCAACAATTTTTTACATCCGTTATTACGTCATAAAGATAGTAAAACGTGGCCAAGATATTTGTGGCATTCCGCGCATGCGCCTGGATTATTAAAAACCCCTCGTATTCCGGCTCAGAGTATTGACAGTGTGTTAAAATATAATCATCAAATTGAACACTATTTGAAACAAAGTAACGTCCCTATCTTACAGTCGTTTACCTTAACCAAAGGAGTGAACAGTTTTGATGGCGCACATTATGGTTTGGGAGTCAATTTAGTAAAATCACAAATTTTAATTGAATATATTCGAGATTTGAGATCTAAGGAAAATTGGTGACAGGAATAAGACGAGTTTTTGTTCAATTATAAATTACAAATTGTTTTACAAACCATTGCATTTTGATATTTAAAGGGAGGTATTAAAAATTGTTATGAATTTGATTTGGACTCACTCCACTAATTCATTTGCCATCTCTTCCCATGTTAAAGTTTTACAACTTTTTCCAGAAATCTAGTTGAAAGCTTTCCAATATGTCGAATGAAAGCCTGGTTAATCCTTAATGTCTCCTATAAAAAATCCATAAATGATGACCATGAAAATTTTGAGAAGACTACTACCGGTTATACTCATCCATTGGCAGTTCACAAAACGACTATTTTTATATTTCGGGGAAGGGAGGGTTTATTCTCCCAAATGTACAGGCCTAGGGTGGAACAGACACTTTATTTAGAAATTGGGATTGCTGGTTGTATTGAACGGGACAACAAAGGGTGCTATGCCTACATTATGGTGAATATTTAGTCCTATAGGTCTTGCTGTTTTCAATCCAATAGGCTTCCCTAGATTGACAGAATTTGGTAGTTTCTTCTTTGCAAGTCAATTTCTATGCGCGCAATTGGGATTAGCTGATACAAACATTTCCATGAAATGTTTTAATAGAGTGATTCAAGTGGATATGATTTCTTTTAAAAATACAGGGAACTAACTCTCGCAGTGTTCCTAAATCAAAATTATAATACAATTCATAATGTTATAAATCATAGATTCATATTGAATTAAATGAAAGAAGCCAAAGAATTTCAGATCGCCTGAGATAAACTTGGGTAATTTAGAAGACTTAACTTCCACCTCCACAAGACCTTTCAGAGGCATGTGTGTGTGTGTATGTTTTTTTTAAATCTTTACGAAACACCTTATGGTACTTCTTCTTGTTGGAGTCCACTATACTATACAATTTTTACCGTACTTTGGACGAGATTTTGATGAACGGAATTGTCTTGCTTTTTTTATCCCTAGATCTTTTTGAAATTTCACATGGTTTAAATACACAATAGTTCGAGGACCCTGTTGGTCATCTTCACAATACCAAGCTATTCTGAACGTCGTCGGCAAGCGGGGGCCGTTATGGCTCAGTTAGTTAGCCGCTTGATCGCTAACTTGAAGATCCAGGGTTCAATCAAAGCATATGTCGAGTTAATAATTTTTTCTCTGTCTGTCAGTGATGCAGGTCAGAGGGGCTGACACTAAGTGTGAACATTCTCGATATTCATTCCCGGAAATTGAGAACAATTTCTGACACCGACAAAGTGTTAATGCTACAATATGACATGTTGGTGCATTGATGCAATAACAACAATCTTGTAATTGGTTGAGAGCATACATCGCTTTCTCTGATAGAAAATATTCAACGCACGTAATTCGACCGCACAATTTTAAGCTTAACAAATTCGATATCAAGTTGAGTGTGTACCAAAACATAAAAAAGATAGGTTGTCAGGCAATGTAACACGTGACACGTCCACTGGCAGCTGTTAGATAACAGTCTTCAGTGCCTAAAATACGAAATGTCTTAGTTGTTTATGCGCAATATGCAACAGTTTTTTTTCACAATATCATGGAATTTATCAACATCAGGGATGTAATATTCATCTCGGCCGGTTTGTTCAGGTTGATAAATCCTCGTGTCATCTTCACCAAAAATCATAGTTTGCCCTTTTAAAGTTACAGGTTAGCCATTTTCAAGGGTGATGTGAGTTTTGAATATATGTAAATGATCTTTAGAAGTACTAGAAATGTACAAAAATCGCAAAATTTCTTCAAACGAGGAATTTCACTTTAATAACTTTATTTGGCAACCTATTTAGACAGAAGTCTAATTTTCAATAGGTCCCACTAAACTACAAAATATATACAAGATTACAGAAAGAATAAAATCACAGAAAATAAAATAAAACATATATACATTTACAATGTAACATGAATGAGGAAAGAAATATAGAAATGTAACCACTATGTTTCCCCACGAAACTGCGAATTATATACTAAGTATATAATAAAAATACAGAAAATTTCATAAAACATAATATATACATTAACAATGCAACACGGATGTGGTGAAAAATATTAGAATGTAAACACTGTGTTTCTTATATGATATATATGATGGTATAAGTTTTTTAAGTAAAATGAAATGGTGAGAAAAACAAAAGAAACGGTTATAAATGCTATGGAATCAATAATATTAATCAGTATTGTCAGTAAGAACAAACTTCTTCAGTTCTTGTTTAAATGTATATAAAGAAGGATTATGTTTTACAGTTTGTGGTAATGAATTGCAAAGTAAAGAAGCTGTATATTGAAATGTTCTCATCATAGCAGTTTTATTACATTTCGGTATGTCTAATGTTCGGAGTGTTTCTGATCTCAGTGTCATACTGGTTTCCGTTAATTTTGATCTTTCCGTAAATTTATTGTATAAATATTCAGGGTGTCCAGTTCGAAATATTTTGAATGTCATTATGCCACGATTACATCTAATACGTTGATACAGTGTCAACCAATTTAAAATTTTTAATAATGGTGCCGAAGGTGAATCATGTTTTTTCATCTAAAATACTACTTGCAGCACGTTTTTGTAATTTGTATAAAACATCTAATTTACTCTTATTGGAATTACCCCAAACTGTAGAACAATAATCAAAAAATGGTAAAATATAACTATTATAAAACATTTTACGTAAGCTTAATGGAATGCATTTTTTAATTTGACTGAGAAGGAAAATTTTAGAACTTTAGAAAATTTGGAAATCCCATTCAAGATGGTGGTCAATAGTATAATGCCTAATAAATCAGTATAAGTAACATTCTCTATAGGTACATTATTTACAGTTAATGCTAATTGGTTATTTGTTGTTTGCAGATTGGAACCAATTAACATATAACCTTGGTTTTTGTAGCATTTATAACCATCCCATTATCCTCACACCAGGTTTTAATGTTAAACATATCATCTTGAAGGGTGGCATTAATACAATTTAAGTTATGGTGAGAAAAGTGTACAGTACTGTCATCAGCAAAGAGGTCTGTAGCACAATTTCTAACATGAAATGGTAAATCATTGATAAAGATGAGAAAGAGGAGAGGACCAAGATTTGACCCATGTGGCACCCCACATTTTACAGAATTGAGGTCGGATTGACATGCACCTAGAGATACTCTTTGCTTCCTTGAATTTAAATAAGATTTAATCAATGTATAAGAGCTGTAATGGAATTTGTATAATTTCAATTTTTCTACCAGTAATTTGTGGTCTAACATACCAAAAGCTTTACTAAAATCTAAGTAGACAACTCCTGACATTTCCCCATTATCAATTGCATTAAGCCAAGAGTCACACATTTTTTGCAGTGCCAAAGTGCAGTATTGCAAGAATGATGTTTCCGGAAGCTAGATTGAAATTTATAGAAAAGTTCAAATGTATTAAAGAAATTTGTAATGTCTGATCTTAGCATGTCTTTCAGGTATCAGGAAAAGTATTTTTGGCTATACATAAATTAACAATATAAGTTAGAGAAGTAGTAATATAATCAGCTGATAAACGTAATACCTTAGGACCAATAAAATCAGGACCAGTTGATTTCTTACAATCAAGTGACAAAAGTAAATTAAGAACGTCCTTACATTTAATGTAATCAATTTTAAAATACTGATTTTGTGGAACTTTGTTTGAAACATGGTTTTCAATACAAGTAATATTTTCACGAGAAAGGGGTTTATAATTTGGTTTAATATCATCGGTTATATTTGTAAAATGATTATCAATAACATCGGCAATGTCATTAAGGTCAGTATATTCCGTATCACGGTGTAAATTATTTTCAGGATAAAGATTAGTATTAATTTTACCCTTGGCTTCATTAAAAAACTGCCAATTCTATTTTTTATATATGTATTTTCAAGATATTTGGCACAGTTTCAGGATAATTGTAGACACACGTGGATTTGAAGGCTCAAACTTCGACTGTGAGCTATGGACAGTATAACTGATAAGCTTAACAAATTCGATTTCTGAGACTAAGGTACGATTGGTCAAACAGATGCCTGGTCCTTTAATCACAAATAAGGAAAATATTCCTCACATAAAAATTGTCTTCCTTCATCTTTGTTCAATTCAACACTCCATTTAAATGGATGAAAAAATAGATGACTGGTATTATAGAAGTTTTGATAATAATTTCGCTCTTGATCCCAGAGATAAGACCCAGCTATCAAAAAAATATCATCACTTGATGTCAAACCACCAATCAAAACAGGTATAGCTATTTCTAGAAACAATTCATGTTTAGCAAATATATCAGCATAATATATAAAATCTTTGTTCATTGTTCTAGGGAAGTATGTTATATCTGAAAAACCATAAACAACAGATTTAGTAGAGTTACCAAAAATATTTAAACGATTTTCAATTTGTAAATAATCTGTTAGATATTCGGGTGTTTTATTTTGGGCATGTGGATGTTTTTGATGAGAAATGATCTCATTCCAAGCACTAGTAAATGCTCTTTCACCGAACCATTTTTGCCAGTTGCCCCAACTATTTCGTTCACCAAGTTGCACACGATATAATTGCCCTGTCCACGGCTTGTCTTGGGGTAGTTCCAAAACGTTCCACGAATTAAATAACACGTCATCACTTAACATGAGTATTCCCGAAACGTTGTAGTCTATTTTCATAGCAACAGACACACATTTATATATTTGATATCCCATGTTGACGGATTGTTCAATAAACGTTAGATTATAGTCTAAATATTGAGTATTCGATTGAAATTGTTGACTATTGTCACCACAATAAATTATATTAGTAAACGTTCTAGAATATAATTCATGTAAAAAACCAACATGTTTGTAAATAGGATGATTGAAAACTATCAACAATAAAATATCTTCAATTCGTTTAAGAGTGGGTTTTATTTTCACCTGTTTGTCACATATATTTGTTAAATTTTGAGTTTTAAGGGAGACCTTGGGTGAATATTGGATGACCGCCGTGGGAGACTCGTTCTGCTTTTTATCCAGTACCGGAAGTGTGTAATTGAGTCTATTAAGGTCGCCAAACCACGCCAATAATAATTCAAGATTAGACGGTTCCCATATTTT